AACACAGTACATTTATTTTTATCGAGAAGGTGCAGGAAATAGAAATAACAGGATAACGTTTTTATATCAAAGTAAAATTATCATATCTGCTTATAGTTATTTATATTTAAAACATATTTGCACAGAGAGAAGAAAAAATATTTATCATCAATTTCCTTGTCAATAACTCCCCCAAGAGTTTCTCTATGAAAGCAGTGAAGCACAAAGTTAATTTTCCCAGTTATTATCACTCTACTGAACTTGTAATTGATCTTACTATAGCAGCAAAAACAAACTGAAGCCCATTAAGCTCGTTGTGTGAGTATAGTGAATTGTAAATTGTCCTTGAACGCATTATATGACATCAAATTAGCAAGTTAGCAATTAGCAAAAATATAGGCTCACTCTATAAAGTGCATGTTCTAACGCATGGTAAGAGTGATAGACAAATGTCATTTGTTGATCGGTTTCAGCTAGGCAGAGATCACAACAGTCTCCCTTGTAAGTCTGGTCCTCACTGCTTACACAAGCAAATTTCCCAGAGATTATGGTTTTGCCTGCATAATGTGTGCATGACCAAGCTTTTCATGAAGGCTCATGGCTTACAGGAGAATGTAAGCTCATGATAAAACCAGCTACTCTGTATGAGCTGGGGGGAAGAGGCATCAGGAAACAAATATGTCCATCATATTGAATAAAAGTAGCTCCTTACTATTGAAGGAAATATTTGAGTTTGATGGTGGGGATCTCATTGTTTTTGTTTAAAGCCTGCTGGTCTAAATGGAAATCTAAAAATCAATGGTCGTGTTACTAATGCGACATTTGAGCCGCCCAATATCATATCCCCATGGATTCAGCTTAGACACGGTCGGATCAGAAATCAATCTAAAAATAGGTTTAAAGGGAATGAGACATACAGCTAAACAATGTTTTCAGGGGCGGTTGTTTTGGTTTTTGTGCTTAAGAAGAGAAAGTATTCATTCCTGAGCACTTTTCCACGTATATAATCTGAAATATAGATTAAGACGGATAAAAACTAATCTATACTGGCAATTCAGAAAGATGTTGAAACAGTGGCCAACTATTTGTTGTTGTTTTTTAAATGAACAAAATGAAAAAAAATTGAAGGACAGTATTCACATAGAAATACAGGTAACAAAGCCTGGTCATTGTTTCCCTTTTGTTCCAGAGATTATAATTGTTCGTCCTTCAGAGACCGATTCTATGCTCACGCCCACTGACAGAAAAGAATTTTCTGTGGGTCTTTGAAGGTCTTCAATGTCCCTGGAAATCACAGAATCTGAGATTCGAAGGAATTTTACCGGCCTCTGGTCCAAATTATACACGAAGGGAACTCCCATTACAGCAGCCATGACATCATGCAGCCTCTAATTGAAGGTTAAAGGATGTGGCCCCTGTCCTGCCTTTGAAGACAGCTCATTATAGAAACAGCAAACACAGGTCACAGCTGCTGTAGATCTGAACATCTTTGGGCTCAGGATTATAAAGTGGAACAAGCAGATCCGGATGAGATTAGAGAACCGAGACTGAGCCCGGGACCAGAACTGAGAAAGGGGCTAGACACAGAGAGCAGATGTGGGCCCCTGGGAGATGAATTGTATTGCATCTCCACAGCTCCAGTGATGGCGGCCATGAAGAGTCCATAGGAGGGTGGCTAAGGATTCACCATAAGGGGAAGGGTTCTACGTGGCCCTAGAGAGGGTAGCCAGAGAGTGGCCAAGGAGTTCCCATAAAGGGGAGAACAAAAATGGCCCCAGAGTTCGAAGCAGCCAGACCTGATGGCACAACTGGACAACTGGAGCTCCTGAAAGAAAGAGCTCCTCTGTGGCTCCTGAATCACATGCCTTTTAAAGCAAAGAAGTTACCAGGTAGCCCCACCAGCTAGAAGGGAAGCAAGGGACAGAGCCACGATGTGAGGGTATGGCCTGGACTGCTTGCTCCACTACTACTAGGAATTCTTTAGAATGTGAAGATTAGCTCTTTAGCAAATCCGAGAGCAAAATTTCTTTTTGGAGAATCCCAAACTTTAAAGTAACCCATAAGGAAGGAGAATGGAAGAGGTCCATAGAGGAGAGTGAGGCTCAATGAAGTTATCAGGGTGATCTCTCTCTCAGGCTCAAAGCCTCATGTTCCTATTAGCCCAGGAGAGTGTCAGCCTTAGCTCGGTGTTCTCAGTCTATCTATGTGGATCTCTGTGGAGGAAGGTGGTACTCATTGGAGAGGAAAAGACAATTATCTGAACTGTTTCTGGCTTCCTATGAGGCCTTTGTAGTTTTTGATTTGGGCTTTGGTTTTTTTGTTTGTTTGTTTTTACATTTCTCTCTGGGGCAAAATAAAGGCTGTCCGGTATTATAGATGTTGATAGGCATACATGCTGTATGTGTGTATATGTATATATGATACATATTTAGCAGGAGTGCCCATATGGGAGTTAAAGCCCCTTTTTATCAATATCCATAGAACCTTAGCTATGACTATGTTTTCATGTTTCCCAAGGGAGACTCTGGGTGAGGGCTAATGAGCCAAATGTTGTCATCCCCAAAGGAAATGTTGAGTGAGAACATGAGCCAAAAGAAAGTGATTTGTGAGATCTTCCCTTCCCCCCACCTCCCACCCCACCATGGATTGTACCCAGTCCGTGTAAACTCAGAGCTGGGATCCTGGGTCTCAGATTACAGAGGGAAAGCAAAAAGGACCTCAGATAGGCCTTCCCTTCCTCCTAGAAGGAATGACCATCTTAAACGTTTCTCATCCTAGAACTACTCCATGGAATCTGACTCTATGTTTGAGCTTTGGCCATCAAGTGAGCTAGAAGAGACCCATAGCTTACCTTTTCAGATTTGATGAAGGTCAAACAGTGAGGGCAAATGTGACTAATTTGGAAAGATAGAGTTGATTCCATAACTCCTCTAGGCCTCACTATACCACCCTTGCAACACTGACTATTTTGGATTCTCTGGTCAGATAGTCCACAAGCAGTTATCAAGACACTGCTAAGCACTGGGGACACAAAGAAAGGCAAAGAGAAAAAAGTCCCTCTTCTCAAGGAGCCCGTAGCCTAGACAGCTGTAAAGTGGGAAACACCAAGCCAGCCCACAAGGTGCTGATGAAAAGCTGACAAATTGTGGCAAAGCCATTCCAATGAGAGGACATTACGTAAGTAACGAAAAATGTTGCCAATTTGGTTTTGTGATTTGAAGCTAAATATATCATTTCTCTAGGATAGGCACGCTCACATATTGATGGCATTGAGATGACTTACCTCAAGTGTGAAAATCAGATGTAGATGAAGGAGGAAAATGTTTCTCGATTCACAGAAATTCCACTGAAACTCCAAGCTGGAAGGGATGTCCAAGACCGTCTAAGCCAACCTGTACTGAGAAGGAATGCCTGCTCTTGTATCCCTGATAGATGGTCATCTAGACCTGTACTGAAGGCTCTCAGGGAGAGGCCATTCCCCCCCCCCCCGCAGCCCATCTCAATTTGGGATAGTTATAATCCTTGGGAAGTCTTCCTTCCATCAAGCCTGTTTTTTCTTCACTTTTCAACTTCCATCCATTACTCTGTCATCAAAACACTCTTTCAATGTACTTTTTTAGCAAGTTTTTATTAAGTACCACCAGCACTGAGAATACAAAGACAGAAGAGTCAAATGGTATTAGGCTGCCCTCTGGGAGCTTACATTCTAGGAGGGGGTAGGGAGGGGAAGAGAGAGAAACACCACACACAAGGGTAAATCAATACAAAATCATCTTTTTCAGAGCGGGGTTGGGGATTCTGAAAGCCCTAAAAGGATGTGATGCTTAAGCTTAGAACCTTGAAGGAAGCTGGCCATTCCAAAAGGCAGAGGTAAGGAGGGAGATGGTGGCAAGCATGGCAGACAGATGGCCTGCATGAAGGCACGGAGAGGTGCTTTCTCCCCAGTGGAATTGTTTCTCTTGGTGTCTTCAGTTTCATCCTTCAGAATTAATGACTCTTTCATGGCTGACCTTCTAGAGAATTTTGGTCATGGGATCCCAAAGCACACACAACTATTCCCAGTCACACTTGGATCATAGCTTGTTCTCTCTAATGACAAAAAAGTGTGGACACAATTAACAACAATATAATGATTATTCATAAATTAATAGCTTATCTTCATCTATCAGTTTTTTAGGTTTACAAAAGCACATTCTTTACAACTACCCAGGTTGTAAATAGCACGTGTATTGATTCCCATTTTACAGAAAGGAAAATTGAAAAGTCAGCAAAAGATGAAGTGGTTTGCCCAAAGTCTCACAACCAAGTATCAAAGGCAGGATTTCACCTCCAAACTCCTTCATAAAAATGGCCTTAGAAATGTGGTGGTAGGTGCTGGAAAGAGGCCTAGTCAATCTGAACCTTCCTTGGCTGCTTCTGAAATAATCCCAGCCATTCTAAGAAGTTAAGGGGCAGAGGAGGGGGATGAGTGGTGATGTCATCTAGTCTTTTTCAATTGGCTTAGACTCAGGAGACCTGGGTTCCAGTCCAGATTCAGGTCCTATTTTCCTGTGTGACCTGCAAAAGTCCCTTAAGCTCCCTGAGGTTCAATTTCCTTATCTGTGAAAAGAATTCCTACCCATCTCAGAGGAAAGGTTTTGCAATTAAAGGAGCTCTCCAAAGGTGCTCAGAAAGGTGAAAGGGACTAGATCAAACTGAGGCACTATCATTGTTCACCCTTAGAAGGACATGGAACTCCTCAGTTACTTCTTTTTCTCTCATTTTGAGCATTAGAAAAAGCCTTCCTATTTTCACTTCCTATCATTTGGAGGGAAAACCAGACGAAACCTGGAGGCAGCTTGGTATAGTAGAAAGATTACAGGATGTGGGTTCAAACCCTGCTGTCTTTGATGCTGACATCCTGTGACTTCCACTCCTTGGGCCTCAGTTTCCTCAATTATAAAATGAAGAGGATGGTCTAGGTGGAACTAGGCTCCCATCAGCCCACTGCCTGACCTCTTGTTGAGAAGCAGAGTGGCATCATGGAGACATCGCTGGACCTGGAGCCATGGAGACCTGAGAGCTGGCTCCGAAGTGTGGCTCCCATATTTGTCAGGTATGTGACCATGGGCATGGTCCATCACCTCTCTGAGGGTCAGTTGTAAAATGAGGACAATGATAATTCCATGACTTACCTCTCATGAGCTGATTGAATAGCATGGGTATAGGCTAACACAAAGAGAAAACCCAGGGCCTGAACTGCTACCCACAAAATTTGAAGAGACCTGGAGGAGCTCTTCACAGTATCAAGCAGACTTGTGGAGGATTCCTGGGAGGACATGGGCAGGAACTTATAGGCTTAGAAGGGGTGGGTGGGTTGCCATCTTGGATTTATCATCAGAAGTCATTGCTCAGTCCTATCTGACTTTTGGTGATCCCATTTGGGGTTTTCTTGGAAACTGAGGCAAACAGGGTGAACTTACTTGCCCAGTGTCACACAACTAGTAAGTGTCTGGGCCTAGATTCAAATTCAGGTCTTCCTGACTCCAGGCCCGATGCCCTATCCATTATGTCACCTACCTGGGTTCAAATCCCATTTTCACTCAGCATGATACAGTAGAAAGAACTGTCTCTGAAGTCAGACAATCTGTATTAAAATTCCACCTCTGACGCTTATCATGTGTGTGACCTTGGGCAAAACAATTCATTTTTCAGGCCTCAGTTTCTTTATCTGTAAAATTCAGGAATTGGAGTCAATCAAGCAGCTGACACTCATTAAGTGCTGAGAATATAAAGGAAAAAGCAGGACAGTCCCCTCCATTAAAGAACTTACATTCTAATAGCCCCAGGTGCCTTCCAACTCAAACTGTGAGATCATGCATGTGGAAACCACACCTTCCTTGAGGTACTTGCCTTGCTCTGTCATTGGGAACAAAGCACTTTGAAAGCCTGTAAGGCTTTGACCATTCCTCCACCTTCCTTTCTAGCACAGATCTTCCTGAACGCCTTAGCTGGCAGCTACCTCAGTTACAGCAGGGAGGAAACCGATCTTCCCCTGGGTCAGTCATCAAGCCTGGCGGGTGAATCCAATATCCCCTCGGGACCCGGGAGGGCTGGCACCAATTACAGAGGGGGAAAAAATGAGCCAAAGAAGATGGAACAGGGACTGCAGAGGAAATACTAAACATCTCCCAGATCACCCTCAAGCCTCTCCAAGCCACAGGACTTTGGGAAAGGAGGCATGGGCATGGAATGGAGAAAATCACCTGAGAATCAGGGGGGAAAAAAACTGGTTTCAAATAAAATCTCAGTGCCACAGACAATTCTCTTAGGCTCTCAGTCACCTGTCTTCAGGATGTGCCCATCTGCACCCAGGGAGGGACTTTACACACCTGGATTTCCCCTATGAAATCACAGTTCTGAACAAAAAAAACCATAATTAAAACAAATAAGTAACATGATTTGGGATATTGCTAGAATAGCTTTAAAAGCTACCCTAGAGGGAAACATTCCTTTCTCTATTTGAGGATGTTGAAAATATCCAATATTTGCACCTAACTGCTCAAAGAAGATTTGTGAATCGATTAAGTAATGTCTGGAAAGAGCTCTGAGGCTTTCAGAGAAAGGTGCTAAGTACATCCATGTTGTTACTGTTAATGGACTCTCTCCTGGGTCCCTATTCCAAGTATTACTAACCTGTGACTGTTTAACAGCCTCTGAATAGTTCCCTTGGTTATGATTATATAGTGGGCAACCACAGATTGGAGCCAATTATTTTTCATCATGCAGACTATCCCAGACTGTAAGTCATTAAGATGGTTGGCACTTTGGGAGGGGGGTACCTTGACTCTGCTGTGTAAAGATACTTTAAATACTTAGAACCTCTGATTGCTGGAATGAGGCACCTCCCATGGAGCCAGAGGTGGGCTCTAGCTCCTTGGGAGGTGCTCCACTTCAACAAATCAGGGGTTTCCTTGATCACAATCATCATCTTTCACACTCACACACACACACACACACACACACACAAAAACTTTCTGTTACGCTTCTCTAGGGACTAAAGGCAAATTTTACAGATGTTATAAATGAGGAAATTATGATTCTTAAGGTAACATACTCACATTTTGGTGACACTATAGTTTAGCAAGTGAGAATACTGCTTTAACAAAAGTGGCTGAAATAGACTCTATTCTAAGCCCTGGGAAGCGATGGTAGGAATGGGAGCAGGATGGTGGGGATGGAAGTGGGATGATAGAAACTGGACTTTGACTCAGAAGATCTAAGTTCAAATCCTGCCTCAGCCTCTTATTAGCTGTGTGAACCTGGACAAGTCATTCAATCTCTTTTATGAATTTTCTCTTATGTAAAATAAGGATAATAGTCCTCAGAATACCTACCTTGTGGGATTATTTTCAGGAAAGTTACTTGTAAATCTTTAAATGTCATATAAATGTGACCTATTATTATCTAGTATCATGTCATTTTACAGTAAGGAGAATATGATTTGCAAGGCCTCCAATTTGTGGAAATCTAAAATCTGACAAACTGGTGCAGATCTATAAATTCATCAATGTGGGAAACTCTTGGTATGGAAATTCTTTTCATACTCAAGTCAAAGTCTTAGAGAGATACCCAGGGCATTGAAAGGTTGAGTTATTTGTCTAGCCAGTATTAGGCAAAGGGAATTGAGTCTTTCTGATACCAAGGCTAGGTCTCTATGCACTAGTCAACACTGATTCTCAATCCTATTTTTACCAGAGAGGAATTTTCTAAGGGAGATTCCTTGGGGAAACCACATAGGTTGTTTCTTTTTAAGCTCTTGGAAATTGTCAGTCATTCCTCAGACTTCTCTAAAGCTACCGTGATTTCCTCAGTGGTTTTTTTTTTCCACCCTCAATGCAGTATCTGTATTTGATTTCTCTAGCATATTTTTAGATTTATTCATTGTTTAGCCATCTAGTGCTAAAAGGACAAAATGATTTGGAGTAAGACAAGAAAAACCACCAGCGAGACCGATAGCAGAGGGAGACAAGAGAAAAAAGATGAATATAATTCCTTGTGCTGGAGGACACAAGCAGATTACTCACTGATATTGGGAGGACATTTCCTCCTGTGGACTCAGTATCATGTTACAGAAGAGCAGGCCTTAGCTGCCTTCCTCCCTCTCTCAAGGGCTGTGCTGCATAGAGCAAAGTAAGTTATCTCTGTGTGTGTGTGTGTGTGTGTGTGTGTGTGTGTGTGTGTGTGTGTGTGTAAGAGAGAGAGAGAGAGAGAGAGAGAGAGAGGTAAATAAATATACAAGAAAGACTTACAGATGAGACGTTAAAGGGACTTCAGGAACAAACTAAAGTAGTCCAGACCCATCATGTTTAGAAAGCTTTGCTATAATTGACAATGATAGACAAAAGTCCACTTCCTGCCCAATTCCACTTCATTCTTTGTCTCAGTAGTTCCGTATTCATCTCACAGGGTGTCCAATTTTAGTCTCAGTTCATTTTTGTACTTAACCAGCATTCTTCCCATCCCTTTGAAACTGATTAGGGAATGTGGCATGAGTGCCAACCTCCCTCCCTGAGTCACTCCAATTTATGGTTTTCTCCGAGATAAAGCCACCTCATTTGAATGTGCTTTAAGCAAACATGAGGGCGGGCAATGAGAATTCAGAGGAAAGGAGATCATGTATTCATTCCCTAGAGTATTTCAAGCCAACAATTTCTTTTTCTTGCCTCAACATGAATCAAGGGAAACTGAGATCAAAAGGTGAAGTGATGGGGCCGCAGCTCTGGCAGGGATATTTCAAAGAATATGCTTAGGGACTGTTAAGTAGGAAAGAAAAGACGTCCAGTCAAAACCCAGTCTCCCCTGGGATTCCAGCTCTCACCCTTTTCTTGAATAGTTTAGAATCAATTAGTCCTCATTCACCACAGGTTTCTTCTTCTCAGGTGACAAGACATTCTGTTAGAATTCTTCTAATTCCTTTTTCTTATTATTTATTTTTAGTTGTCAACATTCATTTCCATAGGATTTTGAGTTTTAAATTTTCTCCCCCTCCTGCTTCTCTCCCCCCACCCCAGACAGCATACAATCTGATATAGGCTCTACATATACATTCATGTTAAGCATATTTTCCCAATAGTTATGATGTAAAGAACAATTAGAACTAATGGGAAGAACCACGAGAATGAAGCAATAAAACAAAACAGCAAAGGAAAAGGAGAGCAAATAGTATACTTCCACCTGCATTCAGACTCCATGGCTCTTTCTCTGGATGTGCACAGCATGTTCCATCATGAATCTTGTGGAGTTGTCTTAGATCCTAGCGTTGCTGTGAAGAGCCAAGTCTATCAAAATCAGTCATCCCACAATGTGGCTGTTACTGTATACAATGTTCATTACACTCTGCATCAGTTCATGTAAGTCTTTCCAAGTTTTTTTTTTCTGCCTGCTCATCATTTCTTATATAGCACAATAGTATTCCATTACATTCACTTGTTCAGCCATTTCCCGATTGATGGGCATCCCCTCAGTTTCCAATTTCTTGCCACCACAAAAAGAGCTGCTATAAATATTTTTGTACCTGTGGGTTGTTTTCCCATTTTTATGATCTCGTTGGGATACAGACCTAGAAGTGGCATTGCTGGGTCAAAGGGTATGCACAATTTTATAGCCCTTTGGGCATAGTTCCAAATTGCTCTCCAAAATGGTTGGATCATTTCACAACTCCACCAACAATGTATTAATGTTCCAATTTTCCCACATTTTCTCCAGCATTTATCATTGTACTGTTTTGTCATGATAGCCAATCTGATAGGTGTGATGTGGTACCTCAGAGTAATTTTGGTTTGCATTTCTCTAATCAATAGTGATTTAGAACATTTTTTCATATGACTATAGATTGCTTTAGTTTCTTCCTCTGACAACTTGCCTGTTCATATCCTTTGACCATTTATCACTGATTCCTTTTTTTTAAGGGAAAAACAGAATACTTTAAAAAGCATTTTTAGCACAACATGTAAAGCCCTTTCAATCTGGTCCTCATTTCTCTTTATGGGTTTATTTCATTATTCCCAATAGAATGTGAGCTCCTTGAAGGTAGGAACTGCTTTTTTCTCTTTTCCTTTTTTCTTCCTTCTTTCCTTCCTTCCTTCCTTCCTTTCTTTCTTTATCCCTAGAAGTTATCAAGGTGCCTGACATATAATAACTTCTTAATAAATATTTGTCAACTATTCCCAAAGGACAATCAAACTGTGAATACTCTTTGATCCTGTAATACTACTACTAAGTTTATATCCCAAAGAGATCATAAAAAAGGGGAAAGGACCCACATGTGTAAAAATATTCATCACAGCTTTTTTGCGGTGGCAAAGAATTAGAAATTGAGGGGATGCCCATCAATTGGGGAATGACTGAACAAGTTATGATATATGAATATAATGGAATAATAGCATGCAAAAGAAATGATGAGCAGCCTGATTTCAGAAAAACCTGGAAAGACTTACATGAACTGATGCTGAGTGAAGTTAGCAGAATCAGGAGAACACTGTACACAGTAAAAGCAGCATTGTGTGATAATCAACTATGATTGACTTAGCCCTTCTCATCAACACAAGAATCCAAGACAGTTCCAAAAGACTCGTGATTGAAAATGCTATCCAAATCCAGAGAAAGAACTGATGGAGTCTGAATGCAGATTGAAGCATACTATTTTCACTTTCTTTGGTTTCTTTTTTTTTTCCATGGCTTTTTTCCTTTTGTTCTGTTTCTTCTTTCACAACATGACTAATGTGGAAATATGAAAAAATAAAAGAAAATAAATGTTTGTCAGCCGACTCCTGAGCTTCCCATTTGGCTAAACTGGCTTATGCGTCTACTGTTCCCCGAACTCACCCAGAATTCTATCTCCCACTTCTGTGACTTTGCACTGGCTGTCCCCCAGACATGGAATCCACTCCCTCCTCATTTCTGCCTCTTAGAATTCCTGTCTTCCTTCAAGGTTCAGGTCATGTATTATGGGGAACTTTTACTAAAACCTGAGCTGTTAATCCTTTCTCCCTCCAATAATCACATGTATCCTTAAGTGTTTAGAAATTTGATCTCCCCAGCAGAGTGCTTCTTCATTTATCTTCCTATCTCCAGTGTCCTACATGAAGTATATGCTTAATAAATGCCTCTTATATTGGATTGTACTGTATTTTATTTCATTTGCTTAAGTGTCATGGTTACTAGATTCACAATGGGTAGATCACTCCTTCCTAGTCTCCCTCATAATCTTCCATAAGTACTCAGTTGTACTTGCCCTAGAAAATCAGATAACAAATGGGAACTTCCAGCAAGTAATCTTTCTCTGTAATGGCACACACAGAACTCACCACCGGTTATATAGGCTGTTCTAGTAAACCGCTCACATGTCGTCACAGATTGAATATTTTTTCTTTAGGATCATAAAAACAAAGCTAGCTCACAAGTAAAGGTTTTAACCTCCACTGCTCAAATTTGCCCACATCCCAATGAATGTAATAGTGGTAGGACATGAAAAAACTAACTTCCTCAGAAAGGAGTCTTTGAGAGATTTATTTCAAACAATGAACAATAAAGAATACATTTGTGTTGTGCTATTCATAGTTTCCTCTATCATTTTTTCTTTCCTTCCTTTCTTCCTTTTTTCCTTCTTCCCTTTCTTCCTTCAACAAATAGTCATTTTATTTACACACTTCTTGCATACAGAACATAGTGCTAGGTGTTGGGGGAGGTACAAAATTGAGATAAGCTATAGCTCCTGCCTTCACAGGACTTATTCTTGTATAAGAGCCTAGCAATGGCAACATGAATAGAAAGTTTTCAGTTAAAATTAGCTGAGTAGATTAATTTGGCAAGATTAACCTAGCAATCAAAGAATGACTTCATTCGAGTATCTTGGTATGCTTGGAGGTCTTTAACTAATCCAGATTTACAAAACAGGTTAATAACACCATCTGCAGATAAGTAAGCTATAGCAAAAAAGAAATTGAGAATGATAGCCTATATCACAACAAACCACTGACTGAGTCCATCACGGAGCCTTGGAAAACTGATCTCCCCCAATCCAGAGCCTTACGTCAAGAGCAACAACCTGGAGTTTCAAATAGGAGACCTTTATTATAAATGTTGTTATTATGGTTAGATAGCATGGCATGGGGATGACATGACCATCTTGGAATCAGGAAGACTTGGGTTCAAATCCTGATTCTGCCACTAACTACTTCTACTACTTTAAACAAGACACTCTCCTGGATTCAATATCATCATCTGTAAAACGAGGGTCCAGACTTGGTGGCCTCTCAGATCCCTCTGTCTCTAAGTGTATGGTCCCATGGCCTTGACTATCACAGTACACCCCTCCTTTGGTCTGTCCTAATGCAGAGGTTGGACATATCATTCCCCAGCCCCAAAACCTTCAGGGACACCTCATTACCCAAGATATGACCCAAATTCTATAATCTGGCACTCAAGGGCCTCTGTGGTCTGCCACTAACATATATTTTCAAGTTTATTTCATGTTACTTCTCTTCATGAATTTGTGTCCCACTCACACTGGACTCAGAGCCATTCTTCAACCTTGAATGCATTTCCTTGGGGCAGCCTCCCTTCCTACAACAGTCTGCCTTCCCATCTCTATGTATTGAAGTCCTTCTCTTCTTTGAAGGCAGAGCTCAGATGCCCCCTGCTTCATTAAGCCCTCTCTGATCTCTCTAGCTACAGTGTCACCCACTCCTCACTAACTTCTTTGAATGCTGACCTTTTACATGCTTTTCTCACTCTCACTTGTATAGCATTTATTTTTGTACATACCTCCTGGTGTCATGGTCTTTAAGAAGGAAGGACAAACAGTATCTCCCTTGATACTAAAAGATCCTTGAAAGCATGACTGTACCATTTTTCATCTTTATGTCCCATGCCCGTAGCATAGTGCCTTACACACAGTAGGCATCTAGTCAGTGTTTGCTGAACTGAAGGAGGAAAGTGAGGCCTGGAGAACTGAGGTGACCTCCCCAACTTCACACAGCCAGAATGGGACAGAGTCCAGTCTACACCCTAAGTAGCCTGATTCCAAGACCAGATGCCATACACTTACCCAGCATCTCTCTTATCTTATTCCAAGGGAAATCTTTGCTCCCCATCCCCCACTAAGAGTAGACTCTTGTAAGTTTTTTTCCCCCCTCATTTTAAAAAGAAAAAAAAAGAAGTCTGGTTGTCCCTTATGCCTGGAATGCTCTTCTTCCTCCCTCTGTCTCCCAGCTTCCCCCTCTTTCTTCTAAAACAGCTCAAATCCCACCTCCAGCTGAAGGCCTTTCCTGGTCCCCTCCCCTCCTTAATCCCAATGCTCTGAGATTACCTTCTATCTACTTGGAATTTCTCTTCCCTGCACTTGGAGGGATATTTATTTGCATTGTGTCTTTCCCATTAGAGTGTGAGCTCCTGGAGGGCAGGCACTGTCTTTGCCTTTCTTTGGATCCTCAGGGCTTAGTACAGGGGTTGGCATGACATTGGTGCCTAACAAATGCTTGTCGACTGACCAATTCTTACTTCTCTCAATGACCATGAAATCTCCTCTTCCAATTCTAATCAATGCATCCTATTAGTAAAGTCTGGTGTAAACGAATTTTAAAACCCTCAATTGGAAAAAAGTCATTTTCGTATTTCAATCTGTTTTAATAAGCATCATAACCTTCTGGGATGTTAGGACTGAAAGGGATTTTAGAGATTACCTAATCTAATCCCTTCATTTCACAGATCAGGACACTGAACCCTCCAAAAAATGACATAACACGCTTCCATTCACATGAGAGAAAAGTAGCACAATCTAAATCCAGGCCTCTTTCCACTAAGTCATACATAGTAGGGGTTTTGGCTAATCTCTCTTTTTTTTTCAAGGCCTATCTCTTCAGGAAGCAGGGCAGCTAGGTGGCACCGTGGATAGAGTGCCATAAATGAAGTCAGGAAAGCTCATCTTCCTCCAAATCTGGCCTCAGACTCTTACTAGCTGTGTGACCCTGGGTAAGTCACTTCACCCTGTTTGACTCAGTTTCTCATCTGTAAAATGAGCTGGAGTAAGAAATGGCAAACCACCGCCAAGAAAACCCCAAACAGGGTCACAGAGAGTCAGACACGACTGAACAACAGAAACTCTTCAGGAAATCTTTCCTGATTCCCCAAAATCCTGATCCTTTCTCCCTCCTCAAAATCATTTACATATGATGTTGACCTGTATCTCCACCAGGAGACTGTAAGCTCCCAGAGGGCAGACTGCTTTCATTTATCAACTTCTAGCAGAGCACCTGATGCCAGGCAGGCTCTTGATCACTACCTGTTTGGATTGGATCCCACCATCAAGCCGCCATATCTGACTATTTAGTTACAAAGGGCATTGTGGTTATTGGCAGCTTAGATAGTCTGCGCTGAGAATGTTAGCATGAAATCCACTCTGTTGGCTGCCCTGAGTCCTAAATGAAAAGGACAGAGGATTTTTCAAGAAAAACCTTTGGAGCAATAACAGCCTTGAAATGGACCCCTCAGCCTTACAGCCATGTTTATAGCCCTGCATAGCTGCTCCTTCTGGCACTCCCATGGAGATGGTATTAGTTTTGGAGTCCTATTCTTCCCAGGAGGCTAGGTGGCCAAGTGGATAGAGTGCTGGGTCTGGGCTCAAACCTGGCCTCAGACACTTACTAGCTGTGTGAGTCTGGGCAGGTCACTTAACCCTGTTTGCCTCGGTTTCTTCACCTGTCAAATAAGCTGGAGAAGGAAATGGCAAACTACTCCAGTACCTTTGCCAAGAAAACCCTAAATGGGATCACAGTGAGTCAGATATGACTGAAAGAATGTCTGGAAGCACCCCACTCCCGAAATTTATCTTTCTGAACCCTCTAATTGGGATCCCTCTTCAACTTTCTAGCCAGTCTGTCTTAGCAAGATGTCTTTTCTCCTAAAGCTATTTTTTCTTCTTGTGCACCTGCAGAGAGAGACCTGGGCAAAGCATGATTGTTACATGTCTAGCTGGGCTGGAGGCTTCTCTGCACAAATTAACAGACAACTCTGATACGGCAGTGCCCCAGCGCCCCAGGCCCTGCCTTTAAGTGAACTACCCTGCCCTGCAAGTCCCTTCCTCCCAGCTCCCTGACGGACCAAGAGCTGCATTAAGCCCATTAACATCCACTAAATGGTCACCATCAATTTTTAATCAGAAAGAAAACCAGAAGTATGGTAAGCGAATCCCAGTAGCAAGTAAATTTAAATAACGGTCACGGGGAAATCCAATCACTTAAACCTGCCCAAGCCCCGGGTCTGTTTGACAAGAGGAGAGGAGGACAGATATATTAATAAAGATTAAAGGCTCGAGGACGGAGCGCGGATTCATTAACTCTTCCCGCCCCGGGAGGGGTCGGGAGAGGGAGGAGAGGAGGAGGTGAAGAGGATAGTGGGCCTGGACATGATGCCCCCGACTGCCCCACTCTCCGCGTTCCCCAGGCACCTCAGCGCAGACTGCCTCTGCTGTCTTGGGCGGCACAAGATGCGGCTGGGCCCGCTGGGTTAAGGTCACCCGATTTTTCTACGCGGCGATCAGGGCTTTGAGAGGAGAGAGCGCAAGAGCCCCGCATCCTGGCCGCCGCCGCCGCCTCCTTCTCCTCCTCCTCCTTCTTCTCCTCGTCCCTCCTTCTCGTCCTACTCCTCTAGCCAGCTCCTGGAGATGTGAGCCAGGCTCTGGCAGGTAGAGCTGTCCAGAGAGAACCAGCGAGAGAACGAGGGCGAGGGCGACACGAAAGTGACAGGGAGACACGGGGGAGAAAGGGAGACCCAGGCAGAGAGGGAGACAGAGGAAGCGAGATAGAAACCGAGGGAGAGCAAGCCAAGCCGGGCTCCTCCCGGTGGTGGGTGTGTGGGGGGGAACCAGTGGACAGACAGACTGCCAGGCGCGCACACGGGACAGACGGACAGAGTCAGACCCAATCAGCCAGGCAAAGGACACACGGACAGACAGACAGACAGGCGGGACGGCAGGACTGACAGTCAGGCAATTTCCCCCTTGGCCGGGTGGGGCCGGAGGCGGCGGAAGGGGTGGGGTGGGGCAGGGGGAGGGAGCAGGGGGGCTGGCAGGCGATGTGGTCGCCCTGGGCAGCTGCAGGATTCGGGGGGGCCCGGCGCCTCCTCGCTGCTGCCGCTGCTGCTGCCGCTGCTGCTACCGCCCTCCCAGGGCTGGAGTTGCGGGGGGCTGACCTGTGGGGAAAAGGAGCGTTGCTGCGACTTTGGCAATGTCACGTACACGGAGGTCAAGTGCTGCAAGCTGCCCTTTCACACGTTCCTGGACAACGTGGGCTGGTTTGTGAGAAAGCTTTCGGGGCTCCTGATCCTGCTGGTGCTCTTCGCCATCGGCTATTTCCTGCAGAGGATCATCTGCCCGAGCCCCCGTAGGTACAACCGGCGCCAGCCGGCCCAGCCGCAGCAGCAGCAGCAGCAGCCCCCCCAGCAGCTGGCTGCCGCTCCCGGGGGCCGGCGGTCGCAGCCGGACGACGCCCCGTCGGGGCTCCACGAGACTGCCGCCACATCCCAGGACTCGTTGCTGGACAGCAGCAGCAGCAGCGGCCGCTGGGGCGCCTCTTCCGAGCATGAGCTGCATGCGGTGTCCTCGCCCCTCTTCCTGCAGCTGCCCAGCTACGAGGAGGTCAAATACCTGCCCACGTACGAGGAATCCATTCTGCTGCAGGAGCAGCCGCCGCGCATCCCCAAGGACTTCGTCCTGCCCGTAGCGGTGCTCGACCAGCCCCGAGGGGGCGACCCAGGCAGCACCCAGGGAAGATACCCGCTCATTTGAGCGCCCGGACTCCGGACCTTCAAACCGTCCCTCCCTCTCTCCGGCCAAGCCTTGCCCGTCCCGACGCCCCTTGCTTTGGCTGAGACGGTAAAGGCCAGAGACCTCCTTCCTCGGCTGGTGCTCTGGAAAGTAAGATACCGGGACAGGGGGCGTCCAGAGACCTAGGAACTGCTCCCCCTCAACAACGGCGGCTGCTCTAGGAGGGGCAAGGTACCAGGGCGATGGGCGTCCAGAGACCTAGAAGTTGCTCCCTCCCCCCAGTGAATATTATTGGGGGGGAGGCAAGATGTCGGGGCGAAGGGCGGCCAGAGACCTGGGAGCTGCCCCCATCTCCTACCCCCGCTACAGCTGCCCCTGGGAGCAATGTGGCAGCAGGGTTATAAAAAATTCCCGCCGCCTCTGCTTTCTTTACCAGCTTCAGCTTCACACCTTAGTTCTCCTGCTCCACCTTACAGAGACACTCTTGACGTGAAAGGATTGGCAAAGGGGGAGCGCCCCCACCCCTTCCCTGGGACCTTAAGTTCCCTCGGATTTCATTCTGTCCAGTGGATAGCTCTTCAACGCCATCGATGTGGCCCAGGACCTCGGAGAGCAGCTTTGAGAGTGACCCACTTCTCTTAAGCCTTTACTATTAATTGTATTTATCGTAAGTGCCTGGTTACTAGAGCATCACGGTGTCAATTTAAAAGACCTGCATCTCTTCACAGCCTTGCGGAGCTTCTTTACGGTGACGAAGAAGAAAGGGATAGAATGAATATGTCTCTTCACCTCCTTCCCCAACCCCCTACCCTCAAGGTTTAAATCTGGGTTTAGGATTGCAGGGTAATGAGTGACTAGTCTTCTCAGTGAGTAAATCCTTCTCTGCCAGGAAGTGAGTTTTTCTAAAAATGGTGTCTTTAGTAAATCATGTCAAATTAGCTGATGTTGCTAGCCAGAAGAGGGAGGTGTGAAAGGAGGAGAGAGAAGAGAAAAGAAGAAGAAAGCCTAGGGAGACAGAAAGAAAGACAGGTGGAGGGAGAGGGGGGAAAGAGGAAAGAGAGAGAAGAGGGGAGAGAAAAGAAAGGAGGGTGATAAAGGGGAGAGAGGAAATGGAGAGAGGAAGAGAAAAGGCAGGAGAAGAGAAAAAGAGAAGGGAGGAGGAGAAAGAGAAAAGGTGGAGAAAGGGATTTCTTAGTGAACAGATGCCAAGTTTGGGATAATAAGATACCTCCCACAATTGAAACACAAAAATTATCTTTAAGAGTGTCGTGGAATGTTAACTAAGTAAATATGGCAGATTGTTACTGTTTATGCATTGAAGTCCATAGAATTTTTTTATAATTTATTTCATCAATCCAGAGGAAGACCAGTTACTGTTTATTTTCAATATTGTATTCAAAATAAGATACAGTTGGCCTTTTCAGTTTTCAATGCCTGAAAAAGCAAATTACCTTCATTTGCTCTTTATTATTTATATTTTTAGAATTTATTTAATGCAAGAGGAGGGTACTTCTGCTACTGAAGTGACTAGCTCATGTTTATCTCCTCCCTCAAGCCACAGGCTGCCAGGAACTTGCTTTCCCAGGCTGTCATGATTATTTCAGGAATACCTTGGGCGTTGGTTCATTAGGAAAAAGAAAACTTTAGGACAAAAAAAAATACGAACAAGAGATAAGTATGTGACATAAATATTGAGGATAACCTTATTTTCACTATTTGAGAGGAATATATTTTATTTTTAGTACTGTGGTATAAGATATAACTTTTATAGCAACTGTACATATTATGTAGTCTACTGTTGGCCTCCAATAGGCCTCCTCTGCACCCATCATCCCATAGGTCAGAGATTATGAAGATAATAGCTATATATATGCCTTGCCATGGAGCATCCTTCTATCATTTCTCATTGGGAATACATTCCACAAACTCCATTGTAACACCTCTGACTGTTAAAACACACACATAACTAATTGCTTTGTGGTGTAACATTTGTGAATAACAAAATAAACAATCTTATAAGCATAAAATTTGCAACATTGCATCAACCTTTTCATTCTGTGGAATGTCTTACAAATAAATAGTAATATGAAATGCCACTATAGGCTGGATGCACTGTGTATGCTGTATATATACATGTTGTCTATGTATAGTGTACACTCTGAATAATGTATGCTTGTATGTTCAAATCATGAATGGGGTGCAAAGTCCCTCTGCTTTGGAAAAGGTAAATGCTATCCCAAGAAAGCAATTATCAAGTATAACATGTATATCTAGAAATGATGTTCTTTGTATTTAAAAATTCTGTTAGAGGAATTTGCAAAATGTCACAAATGTATTTGCAAAGAATGGTCTGATTACTTTGAAACTCCTACATGTTTGTGCATTTGTCAATATTTGAAAAATATTGGAAGTATGCTAAATACAGTAAAGCATTAAAATCCTCTATACACATATTTTTATACGTGTGAATGAATTGTATAACTGAATATTAACATCTGAAAACATTTTTGCAGTTTAAAAGCAGTTTTAACAGTGTCTAAAATTGTCTATAGTTGTGTTTATGCTGGGCAAAATAATGCAGGATTTAAGAAAATCTCATGAGCATTCATGTTGCTTTGTTACCATTGGCTCAAGGTTTGTAATTTTAGCGATATTCTTCCATCAATACTTATTTTCACCTCTACCTCTACCCCCAAGAATCAATCAATCAATGAATAAACATTTATAAGAAGGCTACCAAGTGGCAGGTATGTGGTGGATACTGGAGATAAAAAGAAAAAAAGCAAAGTAGTCCATGCCCTCAGGAAGCTTACAGTTTTGCCAGGGAGGCAAAAATAAATAAATAAACAAATAAATGCAAAGGTTATTTGATCAGAAAGCCACAGGCTTCTGGGAGGGGGAACAGGAAAGGCTTCTTGGAGCAGGTGGCACTTAATCTCAGTCTTAAAAAAAAAAAAACTAAGGTTGGTAAGATCCAGAGGTCAGGAGGGATTGTGTTTCAGGCATGAGGCACAGCCAGGGCTGTGCAGAAGATGGGTAAGTGAGACCAGTTTGGCTTATCGTAGTGAGTGTTTGGGAGAATGATGTGTAATAAGGCAGGAAAGGTAAGCTGGGACCATGTTAGGAAAGGCTCTAAATGTCAGAGGATTGTATAGTTAATAGGCAGCTATTGGAGTTTATTGAGTTAGATTTTACAATGGTCAAACTTGGAGGATGAATTGGAGTGGAGTCAGTTTTGAGGCAGGGAGGCCAATTAGAAGGCTATTCCATTAGTCCAGGGGACTGGTGGTGAGGACTTGAAATAACGTACGAGATGTCTTGGAAGTAGAAAATATAAGATCTGGGACTGGACTGGATATGTGGCATGAGTGGAATTGAGAAGCCAGGAATGGCACTCAATGACTGAAAGAATTCGCCAATAGAAATAGGAAGGTTTGGAAGAAGGATATTTGGGAGTGGGCAGTAAGGAAAAGAAGTTCAGTTTGGGACTTGCTGAGTTGAGGATATCTATAGATAATCAGTTTGAAATGCCCAGTAGGCAGTCGGTACTGGACAATTGCAGCTCAGGAGAAATACAAGGGCTGGCTATAAGATATGGAAGTCATCTGAATAAAGGTAATAATTAAACCCATGAAAGTTACTGAGGTCACTGAGAGAAAGCAGAGGGCTCAGGCTATCCTTACAGTTAGAAGGCATGATATTAATGACCCAGTAAAGGAGACATCATTTTTATTTTTTATTTTTTATTTTTGTATTAATTTATTTATTTTTAGGACAACATCATTTTTAAAATTTCAAGTTAAAATATTCTTCAAAATGCTGTGATATTTGGGGCAAATATAGATACAGCTTTAGAAACATCCCAAATTTTTAGCCATAATAATAAAATACTGTGTGTATGAAGAGAATTTAAAAAATTGTTGAATAACTCAAATTACAATAAAACCCTGGGGAAAAAAAAAACCTTGGCATAACATCCAGAACTAAGGAAATGATGATCCACTGTACTCGGCTCTGGTCAGACCACATATGTAGTATTATTTTCAGTCCTGGGCATCACTTTTTAGGAAGGCCATTGATGAGAAGCAGAGAATCCAGGGGAGAGTGACCAAGAGGGTTCAGGGCCATAGAGTCATTCCACTGGAGTAGTGGTTGAAGGAACTGAGCATCTACAATCTAGAGAAGAGAAGTACAGGGTAGAACATGACTGGCATCAAACATTTCAACTGTTTGAAGGCCTATCACGTGGAAGAAGGCTCCAAAGGACATTACTGGGAATGCTGAGGGGAATTGACAGGCAAAATTGACTGTCATATAAGTAAATTTTCCAACTGATTAGCCCTATCCAAAAGCAGAATGAGCTGCCTTAGGAGCAGTGAGTTTCCTTTCAGCAGAGGCATTCAAACAAAGATTGGTTGCCTACTTTTCAGGGACTCATTTATGAAGTACCTACTATGTGAAAGCACTGTGCTAGGATAGAGATGAAAACAAAGATGCAACAACCTCTGTCCTCCAGAAGCTTACATTATATGGGAAAGATTTCATGGTTGAACTGATAAGGAAATGTGTTATAATTGTAGAGGAAGAGAGTATTAATAATTAGAGGATCAGAAAGGGTATGCTGTGAAGAAGACTGTTATTCAGGTTTAACAACAGCAACAAGTACCTAGGTGGTGCAGCGGATAGAGTCCTGGCAGGAAGACTTCTCTTCACGAGTTCAAATCTGGCCTCAGACACTTCCTAGCTGTGTGACCCTGGCCAAGTCACTTAACCCTGCTTGCCTCAGTTCCTCATTTGTAAAATGAGCTGGAGAAGGGAATGGCAAATCATTCCCAATATCTTTGCCAAGAAAATCCCAAATGGAGTCACAAATGAAATGACTAAATAGAAACAATAATAACAAACATCCAAAATGTATGTGGCCTTTGCAAAAGACTACAAATATCACCTCGTCTCATCCTCCCCAGCTCCCCTGGGAAGTAGGTACTATTACTATCTCTATTTGACAGATGAGGAAATTGAGGCGAATGGAGGTTAGACAACTTGCCCGGGGTCATACATCCAAGCACCGTCTGAGGCTGGATTTGAACTCGGCTTCCTGCCTCCAGGTTCAGGGCTCTATGCACTGTGGCAGCCCCTAGCTGCAATGTCTGTTGGCTCTGATGGCCTCTCGGAGCTTTCTCAGCTCCATGGTGCTGTGATAAAGCACTTCAGTTATTCTGCAGATTCTTCAGTATTGTGATGTGGGTCAGGTCAACAGTGGCATGGAAAGAACCTTAGGTTTGGAGCCAGAGCCCTGGGCCTTGTCCTATTACTCTTCACCCGTGTGATTTTAGGCAAGATCCTCAGCTTCCTCAGGCATAAAAAGGTAGCGGTCGGGCAGCGGGGAAGGACCTACGGTCTCTTCCTGTGCTAAGTCCCATGATTTTACGTTTCTCCATGTAAACAGCCATGCAAATAGCTGCTAGGTGGGGCAGTGGTTAGAGCATTGGGTCTGTAGTCAGGAAGAGGCGAGTACAAATCCAGCATCAGACATTTACTAGCAGTATGATCCTGGACAAGTCAATTCTGATTGCCTCAGTTTCCTCAACTGTAAAATGGGGATAATAATAGCATCACAGGCTTGTTGTGAGGATCGAATGAAATATTTGTCAAATGCTTAGCATGGTGCCTGGCACATAGTAGGTGTTTAATAAATGCTTATTCCCTCCTCCTCCCATCTCACACATAATGTCATTTGTATTCTTTGACACCGGATGTATAATAACATTCTATTGCCTCTGAGAAGATGAGTTTAGTTTTTCCAGATGGCTACCTTCTGCCGAGCTCTTTGATTAATGAAAACATTTTTATTTGGTTCTAATTTTGATACTTTTTTCTTGAATTTTATTGATTAAATGTACCACTCATTCAAGTGCAGTATTGCAAGTACTGTGGATAAAAGTCTAATTCAAATAAAGCAATGTTTGCCGCTTTGTTTCAGGAGAAATGAACAAGAGCAACGCTCCTCTTGGGGTTCA